CCCAAGTCTAAAGTCAGGCTTATTCTGCTACAATTATAAATGCACAACACATCAGCAAGACAAAGCAAATTTCAGAAAGCTTTGGAGGAAGCATTCCCTAGGGTTTTTTTTTGTGTGTGCTAGCTCTACGGGAAAAAAATTGCAGTCTGTATTTTATAAATGAATTAAAATTTATGGTTTAAGATATTATTTGTATTGATTTACACACAGCACTCCTGGGTTTTCGGGCCCTGCAGAAGACTGGAGTGAGCCATTTTGTCCATTTATATTACATATAAAATTATTTTTTATAAAATCAATACTCTTCACTTCTGTATCATAAAAAAATTTATTCCTGATGAGTAATTTTATGACCTCAAGGTCATGGCTATTGAAGTTTTCAGTGTAGCCTGACAAATTCTCTGTGTTGACTCTGTATTACAGGATCTTTCATTTCTTCAATTAAACAGCTGAAAATGGATACCACCTGTGCTCTCATATTTATTGTGTCACTAAAGTCCATGATAATTACACCATGCTGATGACAAATGGCATGCCAGAGAACTGACAGCCTGGGTGTTGTTTTTTTTTTTTAGGTCACCTTTTATACAGTATGATCCATGGATCTAACTTTGTTCCATAGGTTTGAAGCCTCCAGTATACAGAATGAGGTAATTTTTTTGTTAGTTTGGTTGTTCTAATGATCTCAAGCTAACGAACAGGCAGAAGATAATGAATATGGTGATGGGATCGTAATCAAATGGGAAGGATAACCTATACATTAGCTGGAAAATGCTGGCAAAGGTACAGGTCTCATTCTTACCACCAGAAAACAGACCTGAAATGGGATCTGCGGGGTCTCCACCCCTGCAGAGAATGATAAAAGCAGGATCACAGCCCATGGGCTTGCAGACATTGAGCTTGTCTAGTTATCTCAGCAAAGTTTTGGTGCGATGTAAGCACCTGCTTAAATGGAGCCTTACTGAACCGAGCTGGGATCTTGTGCTGCTGCCCAGCATGGTCACCACTGTCATTAGGTTTTGTCCAGGTTGAGCTGCTTTTCTCCCACAGGCACAAAGGGCAGGTGAAACCCAATGCTGCTGGTGTCCCCAGCCCAGGGCCGCGGGCTTTGTTTCATTTCAAAGCCACCAGAACAAGGATGCTGTTGTGCACCGCTCCTTGGTGTCCCCATAGCCTCCGTAGATGTCTAATGATCGGGTGGTTTTGCTTTGTGGTTTAGTTCCACTCCCATTTTCAATGTGCCTACATTTTGAAAAAAAAAAAGCTGCTTTTTACTTTCCCATGATAGCTCCTGCTAGAAAGATGTTATCAGGGCCATCACGAAGGGATGCACCCATCTGGCCACAGGCACAAAGGCAGCGAACGTGAGACCAGAGTTATTTCCCTAGAAGATGTGATTAGATGCTGTATTTTTAACTTGCAAATACTGAGGCAAGAGTTCATTTGACCGATTTACTCGTCTCACAGCAGCACTGTGACTTCCACCATTTGTATGGCACATGGCACAACAGGGACGGTCAGTGATTTGGACTCCTATAGGTTACTGTAAACAAATAACATCTTTTTGGGGGCTTATAATAAACAAATGTCTAACCCAAATGTCTCCTGCTAATTTACAATGTCAACTGATTCTCCAAGTTAGGAATTTTAAATGCAAACACTGAAGAGAGCTTGCAAAAACAAAAGTTACTCAACTTGTACTCAACTTTACTCAAGCTTTCCCCCTCAATTGATGTCAAAGCAGTCTCTAAAAGAAATCAGCATCATTATCTCCCCTTGACAACTGGAAAAAGAGAGGCAAGAGAAAGACCAGAAGCAGTTTCCCAAGGGCCACACACCACACAAGGACTGGCTCCCCTCTCCAGTGCTAACATCAGCCCCTGCGGGAGGGCAATATTAATTCAGTATTTTTCTGATCTAGTGCTCAATCCCTGAAAGGTCTGAGTGATTTTAGCTCTCTGGCACTTCAGCAGCACTTAGCAGTCTGCCGGATTCAATCTGTGATTAGCAGAGACTTCCCACACATGACTGCAAATTGCACGGTCCTTGCTAATTAGGCCTTCATGAATGGATTTATTTAAATTACATTCATTGGCATGGTCAAGGAGTGCAAATGCCAGTTTGTAATTCACTTAGCAGTTTGTTACGTGACGATCAGTACCATTTGCATGCAGGGGAAGCTAGTCCCCATCCAGCACTAGTAGGGACATTTCAGAAACCATCTTCAAAAGGATCTTCCAAGCTAAAGCAATATAAAAATATTAGCTCTGTGAGTTTTATGCTGCCCACAGTGTTTACTGAGTGGGCTCATTGAATATTTATATGTTCTTAAGACCAAAAGAATCTGTAAAATGAAAAGGGCAGACCTGTAATTTTATGTAATTAGCCTGACTGAATGCATTAAAAGCAGCAAATTATTAAAGGTATTCACTGTTCAGTGGCTGTGGCCAATACCTGAACTGGCTGAGAATCGGGAGCGCTGATGGAGTAATGATGGACATCTTTAGCAGAAGTAATGCAGGTGCTGATGCAGCCAACAGGTGCTCAGTGTGTTGAGGGATATTTAATCTAAATTTCTCCCCATCACCGCAGTGAGTCATTGTTCATCTCACTTTTCCCAGTGTCTCCCCCATCCTGGTCCCCAGCACTGGAGT